TTTAGTCCTTAATATTGTGTTAGTGAAGTTATAATTAGCATATACACAGAAATAGCAAGTTAATTGTTCTCCTGAAACACTACTTTATTTTGTATCTGAAATAGTCACTATTTCTTCATAAGCTAAATTTTATACTGAAGATTTCATTTTGATTTACATGTCAAAATCAGTGATGTTTTTTCAATATTGTCTTTTCCTTTTTCCCCCCTCCTTTATTATATCCCAAGGGAAAAATAACCCAAACCAATCCTAAAAGTTAATGTGTAGCACATATTTTTAACTTTTTCCAGATACTGTTATTCTGAAATGATGAATGCGCTCTAATCACTTTCCTCTATACACTAAATATTACTTTCTTTTGTGATAGATCTAGAACTGCTGAATACTTAACTACCTGTTTGGCTTCTCCCTGTTTTTCTGGATTTGTTTGTCTCAGAAAAAGAGGAAAAATAGACCAAGAGAGGCACAAATTTTTATCATTCCTGGAAGTGCTACTCATCCCTTGCAAGGCTCATGAAGTTGAAGCCACATGTGCTGGTTTCAGCTGGGATAGAGTTAATTTTGTTCTCAGTGGCTGCTACAGGGCAGACTTTGCTAGTGAAGCTTCCTTTTTCACCAGTTTGGGGTAAAGTAGCATTTCATCACAGTGGTGCGTGTATGTGTGTGAAGGATCTTGGATAAGTTTTTAAGCTGCCCGGACACAGCTGTGTCTGAGCCCTCACTGTTCACCTTTTCCCTTTTTCTGAATTGCATCGCACCATTTCATTTTCATGCTTATTACTGAGGGTGCAGTTTAACATATCCAAATATTATGGAGATTAACCAACAGGGAGGGAGGGAGGGAAGGAAGGAAGGGAAGGAAGGAAGGGAGGGAGGGAGGGAAGGAAGGAAGGAAGGAAGGAAGGAAGGAAGGAAGGAAGGAAGGAAGGAAGGAAGGAAGGACTTGGAGAGGGGAATGTGTTCTGGCATTTAATTAATTCTTTGACATTGAATCTATTCTCAGATATTTTTTCATGAAGACTAAAAATAAAGATCTGCATGTTTGTTTACTCTAGAATAGGGTGTCCTGACTTGCGACTCTGGCAGGCTGGGGACCTTTTGAAGTCTGAAATCATGGAAAGTTCATTACCAAAGTTTGAAACCTAAGGTGCAGCAAACTGAACTGACCTGACTGAAATGATAAGTGCTGGGATCAGTTCTGGAGCAGCAGGACAGGAGAGCTTCTACATTGGGAAGGGTGAAAAGAGCCAAGGAGCAAAGTCAACCACGAGTTATCTGGACTGGAAGAGCAAGTTCAAGCAGCTCTTCAGCTTTATAATGAAATACTTTCCAGAGTCTTCTTCTTTATACTGAAGTGCAAATGTTTTTGCATCCATGACAAAAGTTTGTAGGTAACAATAATGTCTTTATCAGCTTTTCAGCTTTCAGGTGCACAGACTTATCTCTGAGCCACCAGCACCCAGAGGTGTTTTCTGTAATCTGCAGAGGAATGTGTGTACCTGACAGGGTGCTTGTCCAAGTGTGTGTTGGTCTATTGAAACAGACTGGTTTTGTCTTAGAACTTTTTTTTGTAGCTCACTCTTCTCTGCTTGTCACTCTTACACCAGATATCATCATGCTGGCCATCTGTGTCTGGCTCTGTACTTCCTGACATCGTGAGGATGCAGGAGGTATTTTTGAGTTACCTGGAGAAAACCCACCTTGGGAGGCCTGAAGTGGCCTCAGTGCAGACTGAAGCACTGAGGTTGTGCCTGTCCAGTACAGTGTTTCCTTCACTGTACATGTTTCACTGGGCCAACGTTACTGTTCTGTAGCAAAAAGAAACAAGAATAGACTGGGATCACCTAACAGAGCTCTGGGGTAGCAAATGCTTTTGCCCAGGCAAGCCTGAGCAATGTCCTTTACGAGTATCAGACAAACTCCTGGCACCTTGTGTCTGCACTTTCAGCTGAGAGATGGTCGTGTCAATGGGACCACTGGAGCCACAGGCAGCATAGGAAGGTGGGTTTTGTTTGCTCATTTCTGGTCAGCCTTCTTTGTCCAGGCAATATAAATACACATAAGATTGATCTTGGCAGAAATAAATACAGGGCTATGTCTTACAATCCACTTGGAAGCGGATCTGGTCCAGGATGTGGCAGGTTGTTATTAGGTCTGGTCTCTTCCTTGAGTGCTTGCAGCCAAAGCTCCTGTACTGGCTGATCTCCGAAACTTTTTTTTCTTTTAAATTCTTCCAGTCATAATCTTAGCCATAAATGGAACAGGACTTGCCTCCTGCTTTGAAAGATGCTGCCTCATTTGTCCTTTGAGACTTCACAAGCAAGAGCTGCTGCTCCAGCTTTCATTTGCTCCCTGGTCCTGGAATAGTTTCTGGATCTGAGCCATCTCTTTTCAAGGTGATGATAGGGATGGGGGCTAGGACGGAACTTGTGTATGGTGGGGATAGGAATTTGAGCCTGGGATGTCTGTTTTAGTTGGCAGATTGTTGTCTTGGAGCTGCCTCTTTGTCTGCTCAGGCCAAGATCATTGCTGTCCAAACTGTAGTGTGAGATGTGCACATCCTGACCAGTAGTGGGACTGAGCTCCTTGGCTCCCTCATGAAAATATTCTCAGTTTTATATGAATGTTTTAGTCACATGAAGATATTCTCAGTTTTACATGAATGTTTTAGTCACCAACGTCCCAAGACTTGGGATGTTGGTGACTAAAACATTCAACTGCTCCCAATTACCATGGTTTTTTTCAGAAGTCTGAAATAAAAAATTTCTGCTGAAATGAAACCTCATGGTGAGATCACTACAGCATGCCTTGCTTGAAAAAAGATTTTTTTTTTCCTTGGTGTGTGTGTGTGCTGCAAGGGAATAGGAGGGAACGTCCCAGAAAGAAGTAAAACTTCAGCAACAGAAATTTTCCTTTCCTGGGTCTGATCCCTGAGGATAAATCTATCACACCCCCCATCTGAAATCAGCAGGGTTTGTACAGATCTGTTGCCTTGTATCTGAAATCAAAATATTGTTGCAGATAGTCCCAGGAAAGATTTTGCCTGACTCTTTTGGCTAAATACAGTATATTCTTTAGGGCTTCTCACCTTACTGAGATTTGCTAAAGTCTGTAAAGGAAGCAGAACAAAGGACTTGCTTTTAAAACTGTGTTTACTTCCTTCAAACCACCTGGGCTTATGGACCTTCAGAAGGTTGAGAATTTGCTTTATACAACCTGCTTCCCCTCCCAGGTGGGCTTTAATAAACTCCTTCAGCTTTAGAGTTCAGCCCCACAGCTGAATTTCATTCAAGCTCCATGTTTCTCTCTAGGTTATATAAAATATAAGGATCAGTCATGTGCACTCACCATCTCCTGGAGGGTGTTAAGCACTTCAAGTTGACTGGCAACCATCCCCAGTCCCTGGCCAATGTCATCCTGCTTGTAAGAGAAATACATCATGAGAGAAAGGCTCTGTTATGAAAACTGTTATTAGAGAAAACATTACTTGTTCTTAAATCTTAACCAGATTATGTAGGGTTTTGGATTTTCAGTAACAATAATTTTCTGGTGTTCCCCATCAGGAGGCCAGGACTGCTGTCAGCTCTGCTGGCATTAATCCAGCTTTCATCAGAAGAGAGATTCTGGATTGAGAAGGAGGACTGAATTTGTATCCTAGTGCTTTTGTTCCTCTACAGTTAAAACTAAAAAACAGGACAGTTTTGGAGAACTATAGGATTTGGGTTTTTTGTATGAAGCAGAGAATTTGTTTTCTTCCAATTCTAACATAGTATGTGAAGCTTAAATATTTTGTTAAAATTGTTGGTACTGTGTTTAGTTGGTGAGCTCTTGTGTACTTTTTTGAGGCTTGAGTTATCTGAAGTGCCTAATTTAAAAGCAAAGCAAACCTTTAATTTCATTTTAACAGTGCACAGGTATATGGATATTTAAGCAATTAAGAATTTCATATTCTTACCTCTGTGGGCACTTCACTAGAAAAACTGGTTATTTACTAGTTGCTGGGAGATTTACTCTTAGGGTTAAATCTCGTTATAAAGCCTGACCTCATTACATAAATTACTAATTCACAATTAGCTGAGCATGTTACCTGTTTGCTTGGTGGAAACAGTCTGCTGAAAACCTTATTTGGCTCCTTTTGGTGAGAGTGTGGAGCAGTACTTTACACCTTGGCATGGTTTGGAGCCCAGATGAAATGGATCCTTGGTCAGTGCATACCACCAACAGGAGCTGCATCCGCTTGGACTCACTGCCAAATCTAGTTCCCACGCAGCTACCAAGGGTCACCATGGAGACATTTTGTACCAGAACAGCTCATTTTAAATATTAGATTTCAGCCTTTGAGTGCATGTTCAAAGTTTACAGTTGCAGTTGCTTTAGAACATCTGCTTTTTCATAGGAGGGGAAAAACACTTCAGGGAAGTTAAAAAGCCTAGATTTGGCATTGCATGTTTGTTACAGTAGTAACCAGTTGCTTAGCAAAGAATGGTCCATCTATAAATACTTTAATTAAATATTATTTATTAAATTAAGGTGGATTTTAAAACATGCCTAATAATAACAACACTAAAAATGTCAGTGTTTAACAGGTACACACATTGTTTTAACAATATCTACAAGTTATGTGCTTTGCAAGAGCTTGTTATGGCTTCATCTGTTAGGCATTTGGTATGCATTCACTTTATTTAATTCTTCAGGAAAAAAAGGAATTCTCTCTGGTAAGATGCAAAGGAATGAAGCTGCATCTAACGACGAGTTAGCAAATAGGATCAAGCATTTATGAAAGAAGTCAAAATTTAAAGCTGTATTCACATATGGGCATAACTCACTAGGGCTTGTCTTTTGCCACCTTGCTCCAAGCTTTCCTAGCAACATGACCTCCCTCAGTCATCATTGCCTGCTGCGTGGGGGTGGTGCTGCCAGCTGGGCTGGGTTCCTGCTCTCACTGGGGTGATAGCACAGCTTTAATGAAGAAATAGAGAAATAGCCTTGGTCTGTGGTACTAGCAGTGGTTGGGACTGGCAAGTAATGCATTAAAATGAAGAATTTTGTGTCAGGACACAGCCTATTTTGGTAAGTAATAGCTTTTCCAAAGCAGACCCCTATCTTCCTCCCCTCTTACAGGTACTGTACTCACCAGACTATGAAGGGAACCCTTCAGCTCCTGTTTGGGAAGCAGCATCTGCTGGAAGGATTGCAAGGTTATGTTTTCTGGTAACCCTCACCTCATGAGTGTCAGGCACTGGCTGACTTCAGCATCTGTTTGTTTCAAAGGAATTTGAGAGCAGAGTTCATTATTCTGTTATCAGCAGATAACCTGCCTTTATTTATATATTGAGATATTTATTATAAATATATAAATCTGATACTTATGAACAGTTCTGTGCATCTAGAAAAAGCTCTACCTGGGGGATCTGTTTCTTGTTTTTCTCACAAGGCAGAGGCTCACAGTTGACATACATTGTTAAACCCAGGTGAAATCACTAATGCTTTAAGAAAAGGGAAAAGTTAGGGAAGTGATTGTCCTTCTTTAGGGAAATTATTGTCCCCCTGTACTCAACAGTGGTGAAACTGTACCACCTCATATCTGGTGTCCAGTTTGGGGCCTTTTACTTCCAGAAAGACATTGAGGTGCTGGAGCATGTCCAGAGAAAGGCAACAGAGAGAATCTGGGGAAGAGTCTGGAGCACAAGTCTGATGAGGAGCAGCTGAGGGAGCTGGGGGGGCTCAGCCTGGAGAAAAGAGGCTCAGGTGAGATCTTTTCACTTTCTGCAACTCTCTGGTGGGATGGTGGAGCCAAGTGGAGATTGACCTCTTCTCCTAGGTAAACAGCCACGGGACTAGAGGAAATGGCCTCAAGGAACTGCAGTAAGGAAGGTTCAGGTTGAATATCAGGAAGAGTTTCTTCATTGAAACTCTTGTCAAGCATTGGATCAGACTGCCCAGGGAGGTAGTGGAGTCACCATCCCTGGAAGTGTTGAAGCAATGACTTGAATTAGTGTCATGGTCTTGTTGACACGGTGATCAGACAAAGATTGAACTTGATGACCTTGGAGGTATTTTCCAATCTTCGTGATGCTATGATTCTTTGAGAAGACTGAAGTTATTTCTGAACATTTAGGACAAGAGTTTAATTGCAGATTATTTTTGCTGAAATCTTTCCTTTGGGAACATAAAACTACAAGAAGTTTCAATCTGATAATTAAATAGGAGAGAGCAGCCAAGGATTCCCAGATCATGACATAGTAATTTCTCCTGCTTTTAATCCCACTGTGATCGGTGGGACTCCCAGTGCGATGCTGAAGGAGGAGTGCATCTGTGTGGAGCTGTGTCTAACCAAGCCTTACAACACCTGAAACATCTGATTCCTCCTCTAGCAATCACTGTCTGTGCCATCAAGGTGGGGATATGTGTCTGAGGACTCTTAACCCTTAAGTGTGTATGTGCTACACACTGGCAGGTTTCTGCCCCACCACAGCTGCTAAATAGGGAATTGGCTCTTTCCATGGTCAAGTGGAAAGTGGGGAGGAAACCTTTGGCCAGTAGGAAGACATGGAGAGACTAATTGTGGTTTTGTCCAGTTTTTTCCTCCCTACATATTTCCACAAGTTGAACACTGTTGACTAGACACCAAGACACCAAACAGTTAAGGCAGAGATTTTTGGAGCATGGGTAACTGATACTGGCCTTGCAAGGCTGTTGCATACAAGACTCTGTGTTTAAGTGCCTGAATATGGATGTTGGTGCCTTGCTTCAGGCGCTTGGTTTGCAAATGCTGGTGTTGGGTATTTGCCAGGAATAGAATTGGAATCCTTTGACTTTGTGGTTTAACTCCTAGGCAGCATTTCTTCTTCTCAGTACACTGTATCCTGTGCTTATTCATATGGAGAACAAGCATGATACTTCCAGAGGGAAAATGATTTTTAGTGATGAATGAGAATATATGGAATTTGAGATTCTTGCATTGGACCTTTTTGATTGCTGTTGAAGAAGGAATGTTTTATTTTCTCAATTCATCCCTTTCTTGGTTAGTGCCCTTTGGAAGAGAGCTCCCTAGCATAGCTCCTTTTGCTGAGTTAATGGATGACTTTAGGGCTTCCGAGCCAGAGAGTGCAACTGCCCAGCCTGGTTTAGGACGTCCTTGTGCCGAAGAGAAGAGCAGTTTCTGCTCTCCAGGGGAAGGCTACGATCTTGCCATCCCAAAACTCAGCATGTCAGCTAGTCTTCTCTGTCTCTGAAGTGGCAAGGAACAGATAGAAAAAACTATATGGCAGGAAAGGGGAGGAGTCCTCATGTCTCTGCCTCTCTTCTGATCTCCTGGATTTTAGCATGATTTGGTGAAGAAGAAAGGAAATAAATTGGACTTCTGGAAAATGACTCTTGTCCCTGGGATAGGCAGCATCTTACCTGGCAGAGATGGTCCTGGAAGTTATCTGTGAGAGCTCTGTGAATCTAGAGCATATTCTGAGCAGACTTATCTTGAGAGAATTTTGCTCGAATATATGCCTGGAAAATATGCCTGAGCTGAGGATCTTCTACAGAATTAGAAGTCCACCAAAAGGAAAAACTGGCCAAAAGGGAAAGGGAGGGCAGCAACAGGCTTGATACAGACAATCCTTCCCCAATGCTATAAGTCCTTGCTTCAGAGCATATGGTTATGAGAACCTCTCCATTAAATGGTTATTGCTTTTTTTTCCTATACAGACAAATTGGTTTTCCCTCCTCACTTCATTCTGGGAGACAGCCAAACTGTTTTAACTGAAACTTTCCCAAATAACTCAGCCCAAGACAGAGACATTGGCTAGGAAAATATAGTACCAAGCACAGAGAGTTTGGCAATGTCTTTAGTAAATGAAAGCTGAATTTCTTAATGGAAAGTGTCAGGCACCCTTAACCATAAGTAGTATTAAAATGCAGCCTATCATTATGCAAATGAAGAGGGGGCATCTTTGCCAACTGGACCCAAACATTGTATTCACTTTTAAGAATCTGGAGCAGTTGCATGGTATATAACAAGGTGGTTGTAAAATGACATTTTGAATGTGACATGAGCTGCCACTTACAACAGTGAATAAAGTCTTTGCTGGAAGATGGTAGGTCAAATTCAGCCACAGCAGGTCCTGGAGATCTTGGACTGTGTGGATCTTGAGAAAGTTTGGCAAGAATTTTTCTGCTGGTAGTAGAAACCAATGAACTTCTGACTGTCATAGTTTTTGTAAGCAAGGTAGGAGTTACAACTGATGTGTTGTGAAAGGCAAGTTTGATAAATGGAGATCAAAAGGGTTAATCACTGCTGCTGGGATTGGGATTTTGCGCTGTGTGCAATGAGCAGGCTAGGAAATATTTTTTCTGTCTCTCCTATAAATATAATTTGATCTCTGGGGTGTTTCCTTCTCTTCTAAAGGAATGGACACAAGTAATTCTAATGCAGATAGTGAACTGAGAATGGTCGTTCATATGTCTCACTCATAAGCTCAAAATTAGGGAGCTAAGAAAAGCAGCAGCTGTGTTCTTACATCCTCCATACATTCTTGGGCTGTGGAATGGCAACTATCACATCCATCTAGACATTTTATCTTAACTAGGTTTTGGTGATTCCCTTGTTCTGTTCTGCTCTCTTCCTTTGGCACACTTGGATGCATTAAATGTGGAAAAACTAATGCTATTTAGGTTTGTTCTATGCTCTTGGGATCATCTTGCTTAGGGTTTACAGAGCTGCTCAGAATAGATGCTCTGTAAACCCTCTGGGCCGTGTGTCACATGGCAGTCGGCCATACACCGTGACACAGATGGTTCCTGCCAGTCTTTTTTTCTACAGAAGAAAGATGCCAGCATTAACTAATCCATAAAGCTCCCTCATGCTGGGCATCCACCCAGTTAGAGCAGTTTAAACCTCCATGGTGTTTTAAACACTCTTGTTGATGTTGTTGCCTTGGTGCTCCATTTCCTCCCGGTGCTAACTCCAAGCCTTTATTGGAGCGCGGGCAGACGGCGCAGCACCAGGCGATCAGCGGAGATCACAGGGCCAGTTTTATGTCTGGAGTACAGTTTTTGCTCTGGGTAACAACCTGCCTCAGTGGAAGGGCTTCTCTCAGATCTGCTACTCTGGTTGTTTTTTTAGGATGCGATCCTTGCTAGTGAAACAAGGAGTATCTTTCTTAGCCGTTTTCCGTCTGGGATATGGTGGTGCAGGCTATGCAGTGGTTTTTTCAGAGTAAGTAAAGCTAGGAAATGGTCTTATGGTTTCTATCTGGAAAAAAAGCCAGCCAAAAGCCTTTGGGAATTAGTGTCTTATGGGGATTGATCCCTGGACACAAGGCATTAGTACTCTGAGCTTGCTGATGTTGGGGAACAACCAGAGCACTAACCAAGTCAATCACTTGGATTTCTAGAGGGGCAAGATAGAAATTACTGAGCAATTATAAGAGGTGGCAGATGACAAATAGAAATGCCTTTCTCTTAATTTTTCAGCAGATGATCTCATTTTACACCAGATCCTCAGCTGCTGTAGATCAGACTACTCCCTTGAAGCCTGTGCTGATTTGCACCTGCTACAGAGCTGGCAGTGGCATGCTTGATTTAAGAAAGAAAATAATTGTGGTTGTAGTGTAAAATCAGCTTAGTTTTGGATTAGAGGAGCTTTCAGCATTTCAGTCACTCTGGAGGTTGCATGCACCACATGTTTGTGAAGTTGCAGGCACACACGCAAATTTCTTTCCTGTCTTTCAGGTGAATCTGTATGTTCATCTGCTTCAGTGGCTGCTTTGGAAAATTCTCAGACTTCTCCCTAAGTGATTTGCTGCATTATTTATTTTGAAAGCAGAGGTTTTAAAAATAATTCTTACCAGACCCATTTGGCCCCATAGCCTGTCCTTGAGTTTAAGCCATTCAAGTCTAATTCTGTGAAATCAGGTAGGAATATGAATATTGTGAGACATTGGATACTGTTGTCTAGTTATGCTGCAGTTTGAAATCTTCCAAAAGATAAGATTTTTTCTCCAGATTAGCTCCTCAAAAATTGGTTTATTATCTGGTGCAGGGAATGTAATATGGGCCCCTGTATTCTGTGATCC